CCAGGTTCGATTCCTCCGCCCCTCTCAGAGCTACCGGCAAGCTTCTGAGAACGTCTCGCCTGCACAGCAAAGCCTGGCAAGCTCCCCGTGACGTATTCCATATGCCAAACACAGTAACAAGTCTCACAATGGAGACATTACTGGGCCTGCTCAAGCAAATCGATGAACAACGGGAGGACAGTGCTACAATTAGCCTCACTATTATAAGGTAGGGCTGGAGCGATAGCAGAGTGGGTAGGGCATTTGCCTTGCATACGGCCGACCCGGGTTCGATTCCTCCATCCCTCTTGGAGAGCCCGGCAAGCTACCAAGAGTATCCTGCCCGCATGGCAGAGCTTAGCTTATTTGATATGCCAAACACAGTAAGTCTCACAATGGAGATGTTACTGGTGCCCACTCGAGCAAATCGATCAACAATGGGAGACAGTGCTACAGTGCTACCGTTGTAAGGTAATATTTGTGTGACTTCTAAAATAATCTCCATGGAACCTATGTTTTGCATCTCCCTTCCTACTCCCCTAACCCCCTCACAGGTCAATACCATGTTCCCCTGGATCTGTGCTGCATCCCCCAGCCTGACTTGAACTCTGCACTGACCTGTAGATTAGTCCCAATGGCCTCCTCCGCCTGCAGAAATCTCATCCATCCTCAATCTAGTCAGATTTCGCCATTTCCTTCCATGTAAACTGTCCTAAGCCCCCACCCCCGTCCCACCCCAGACTTAGAGCTTTCCCACTTTGAATCCTTCCCAAATGAAAGAAATACTGAGGTTGTTAGGGGCCAACAGAGTGAGAAAAAACGGCCACATTCATCACCTTGCTCTTTCTCCCATCTTGTTTTGGCTTGGTTTGTTGTGGTTTGGTTTGGGGGTCACACCCAGTGCTACTCCTGGCTCTGCACTCAGAGACCAATCCTGTTGGCTCAGGAAACCACATTCCCATATGTGGGGAATAGAACCCAATTCATGCAAGTGCAAGGCAAGGGCCCCACCCACGGTACCATCTCTCTAGCCCCTACCTCCTCCTATTTTGGACTAAGACAATGCCTAATGTGTCCACTATATGTGCTGGTCTAGTCAAGCATTCTCAAACACTAGGTAGAAAGGTTGAAAACCACTGGTTGATATCCTTGGTTAGACCTGCTGGTCCATGAGCCTGGATGCAGGACAAGTGCCGGTCTACAGGTGCTAAAAGGATGAAGAAGGCTGATGAATGCTGCTTTGTCTACTCAATTCACTTCATCCTATTTTGTGGGTGGGCACTAAAGAAGTCACCAGCACAGGAGCCAGAGCAATAGTACAGAGGTAAGGAATTTTCCTTGTATGAGGACCACCTGCGTTTGATCCCTGGCATCCTATATGGTTCCCCTGAGCATCACCACAGTGCAGAGCCCGAGTGCCAGGAGTAATACCCAAGTACTTCTGGGTGTGGTCCCCAAACAAAAAAGAACCAACAACCAACTAATCAAACAAACAAAAAGACCTCACAAGCACAGCACTTCTGAAGGCGCCCATGGGCATATGAACTACAGAGAAGGACTATTGAAAATCAGACTTTTTTTCTCTTGGGTACTGGGGAGTCCCTGTTCCCTAATATTAAGAGAGGCACTGAAGAGGACTGAAGAGGACTGAGAGCTAGAGAGATCAAAACTAAAGAGGTGTTGAGGTCTCCATCTGAGAAGTGTTTCCTTTTTATGCTGGCAAATGGAACTATTTCGAAGCCAAGGTCTGATCTGAATTTTGAGCCCCCGCAAATAGACAAATCAGCACCCTCTCCCAGTTTTTCATCCCTCACATTATCCCACCTCCCAGCTATGACAGTGAAGCTGATGTACGGTCAGAACAAAACTCAGTACAGTCATTCCTGGGTTCCTGCAGAAGAAGAAAGGTACCTGGTTGCTAAACAGCAAAGACTACTCAAATCCAGGAACCCGAAGGACTGTGCTTAATTGGGCATGTGTTTCCCATAATGACCATTAGGTGTCGCTCTCCTGCAACTAAAGATAACCGCCCAGTGCTGGGCTCCTGCAGCCTGGCAAAGATGCCACCTACCCTGATTTCTAAAGCCACACTAACATTTTTGACTGGAAGAGCTTGACCTATGGTAGGCTCGTACTTTGCTCAATCCTGGCCTTAGCCATTGAAGAAGGTCAAAGAAATGGTTTTTAGCTTTCTACTGATTTATATGGGTAGTAAGAGTTGAAACCACATCAAACTTTGATGTTTAAATTCAAAAGTGAGCAACAGTATCGATTCCCCGTTGCTTTTTGGCTTTGTGCAATTACAGTAGATTTTTTTGGCACCTATACACCAAAACTACAGAAGCCATCTCTATCCAGATGGTAATGTTGAAAGGAAGAGAGAAAGGGGAAGCTTTAAAAGAAAGAAAAAAAGGAGAGTTTTTTTAATTTTTTTTTTAATTTTTATTAGTGAAACACCATGAGGTACAATTGTAGACTTACAAATTTTTGTGCTTCGGTTTCAACTATACAATGATCAAGTACCCATCCCTCCACCAGTGCCCATTTTCCACCACCATGGATCCCAGTATCCCTTCACCCCCCCATCTCCCCATCCCACCCTGCCTCTGTGGCAGGGCATTCCCTTTTGTTCTCGCTCTCCTTTTGGGTGTTGTGGTTTGCAAAAAAGACCTCGAGTGGCAATCATGTTCAGTCTAATGTCTACTTTCAGCATGCTTCTCCCATCCTGGGAGGATCCTTCCAACACCCTTTATTTGGTGCTACCTTCTCTATCTGAGCTGCCTTTTCCCCTAGCATGTGTGGCTGGCCTCCAAGCATGGAGTAAACCTAAAAAGGAGAGTTCTTAAAATACTGAGGTCACACCAAATCTAGGCTCACAACAAAGAAACTGGGTGGTCAGATTCATAACTTTTTCTTCTTCCTCAAAGGGCAAATTCTGTCCCATGTATCTGTTTCAGAAGCCCAAGGTCTATAGTGGCTTTGCCTCTCCTTAGAAAGGGTCAGGTGGGGCTGGAGTGATAGTACGGCTGGTAGGGCATTTTTCTTGCATGCAGCTGACCTGTATTCGATCCCCAACCCCCCATATGGTCCCACAAGCACTGCCAGGAGTAATTCCTGAGTGCAGAGCCAGGAGTAATGTCTGAGCATTGCTGGGTATGACCCAAAAAGGAAAAAAAGAGGGGGGGGGTATTTTAGGAAATCCCAAAGAAATCCTTTTACCCAACTTAGGTGTATAGTTGAGAAGATGACAAGTTTAGGGCAAGGCTATGGTTTGCTCTTTGCTTAAATGTTCCCTTGATAGATGCCTGAAGTTGTGAGGAAAAATACCCAGACAGGATACCTGCTTTTATCCTCCTGAACTCAGCACAGATGCATACTTCCTCTTCCCTCCTAGCACCCTACACACACACACACACAGGTGCCCCACACCCAGCCCTGCCAACAGTTCCTGTATTGGGCCACTGTGACTCTTAAGGTGTGATGGAGTGAGAGACAGAAATTGCCGTTTCCCACCAAACTGCTTAAGGTGGGGCTCTAAATATAGCCACGCGGAGTGCTCCATGCTGTATTTCTGTGGCTTCTGCACCTCGTGCCTTCCAACCAGTATTTTAGGGTAAATGCTGTTATCAGAAGAATATTCAAGTCCAGTGCTGCTTCCTGGGTGTGAACACCAGTTCTTTCTCCATCTCAGGTTCATTCTTGGGTCTTGTTAGCAACAATCTGTTATCCTATGGATATGGGGGGAATGCCCTGGAGAGATAGTACCAGGGTTAAGACGCACAGCTCTTTCCAGTTTGGTTGGTTCCTGGCACTACGTGGTCCCCTGAGCACTGTAGGAGAAGACTGGGTAATAATCCCCCCAAAGCGGGACACTGACCTGCTTTCAGATGTAGGTTGAACTGCCAGCTCCTCTAACACATCCTGAGCATCACTTGGGAGGACCCGCCCCCCAACACACATACGTACACAACAACAGCAATTGAGTACGTAGCTTTGCTTTATTACTCCTCTGAAAGTCATTCTTTTTTGTGTGTTTGAGACTCCTCTTATTGTTACCAATTTTGGAATGAAGAAGTTGGTTTTCTTTGGAAAACATTTTTCAATGACCACAGGAAACTGTGTGGCAGTAACTACTCCCCACCCAATACTTGCCACTGACTTATAGTTCTCCCAGCAGGTTGTGTGTGTGTGTGTGTGTGTGTGTGTGTGTGTGTGTGTGTGTGTGTGTTGTGAGGGGTTCGTTTGCTATGTGGGGAGAAGGCAGGAGTGGAGATGCTGAGAATCGAACCCGAGGGCTTGCACCCATGATGCAGGCACTGTCCCACCGATGCAGCCCGGATAATCGTAGCAGCTCCGGAAGCACAGCTCACCCTGCACGAGAGCATCAGACCAGGAGTAGGTTCAAGGCTCAGAAAAGCAAACAAACAAAACGGCCTTGAGTCTTCTCCTCTGGACTCTTCCTGGCCGTAGTAACTTCCAGGGCTCTAAACCAATCCTCAGTGTTTTAGAAGGTGCAGCTTCCGTTGGTGGGAGCTGAGAGGCCAGGTCCCCCCGAGTCACTGAAAGGAACAGATCCAGAAGAACGTGTCACAGGGATGAGAAACCAACGGCTGTGCTGAGAGGGCCCCAAGAATGGGCGGGCAACCTAAATCAGCCTCCCTTCCTTGATAGAAATCATTTTCAGGGCACACCATTCTACAAGCTCGAAGTCTATTTCAATGTACGGTGTACGATTTAAAATGATTCTCTTTGGTGACAAGATGAAAATGGACTGCAGCAGGTTCTTAAAATGACAGCCCCAGCAGTTTACCTGGAAGCCATTCTGAGCGCTTATAGTAGGGAGTGACTTATACAAGGGAGTTAATGTCTGCCATTTTCCAGAGTAAGTGGTGGGCGACTGAATCCAATCACATACCTGCCCCCAACAGTAGCACAGGGGGAGGGGATGAGAGATGATCACTTAGGCATTATTGATCCTGCTCTTCGAATAAACACACAAACAAAAACTCTCCGAGGCAAACTCATTTCAATCTAACACACTTTATTCTCTTTTTTTTGTTTCACTTTCTCTCTTTTCAGTGATCAAGTATTTAAGATGTTGTAAACCAGGATTCAATAGTACATCAACAATAGATTTTATTAGATACAAGGAAAGTAATACACCTTTTAAATTACCCTAAGAGGTCTCCAAATAAATATTCATTTTAAAAATCACAAAATCAAACTTCTTTATAAAACAGCTCTAAACAACCTTTCATCACAAGCATACCTCTACACACAAAACACACACACGCCGAGCACACACTCCACAAGGGCCCTAATGCCAGTTTATTTTTGACACAGTATTATATAGTTCTGAAACTAAAGAGACAGAGACTGACCCTCCCGCTTAGTGTTTCATAATTAACATTTGGGGTCTGGGGGTAGAGGTATTTTTCAAATGCTCACTAGAAAGTCTTACCAGTTAATATTTTTCACCTCTAGATACAAGCTTTAAACATTTTTGTTTACCCCTTTGGTTCAATACATCCCTGCAATTGCTGTATTTTTCAATAATATCTTCCTCCTCATTTTTTAAATATATAAGTACAATACACCAGAGAAAGACAACACCTTCAAAAATCCCAATATGAAAACACTTTATTTGAGTGTAGGCTATTTTGGAGAATAAATAAGAAAAGGTTATCTGAAATATTTTCTCCCTTTCTGAAATTATTTGGAGCATCTAATTATTCTTGCTAAAATAAATATCAAAAGCACTGAGTTTTTCATAGAAAAAGTATCTCCCCTTTCACTCTTTTTTTTTTTTTTTGCAGCGTCAAGTTTGTGGGTTTGCTGGAGTAGTGAGAATAATGAAAGCTTATTTTCTGGGAAGTTCTCCAGAATTTCAAAAGCAGAGCACATGCAGCCCCTTATCAGTGAATTACTATGAATTAGTGGCACGTTTTCTGTAGTGTACATGCATCATCAAATGCTTTTTAGCACCAAGGCATAGATATACTTCCTATTTTGCCAAAGCAAATACCCAAGGAGGGCTTTTGTCTTACTTGACCCATCCCAGGGTTAAGTAAAAATGAAGTGTTTAGAGTGGAGTTCATGCCCAATTCAATCAGCTAACCAGTGGCTGAATAAATAGCAGTACTCTTACATTAAAAAAAAAAAAAAGAAGTGTTTACAGTAACCTTTTCAGACATATACACATCTGATTCCAATGGAGCAAGAAGTCTAGGGCAGAAAGTATCAATAGCTTCCCAGAAGTTGGGGAAGGGGAGAAAACAGAAATTGTGAAATAAAGTGTGTGAGTCCACTATGCCTGCCAACCCAGGCACTCCCTTCAAAACTCTAAAACAGAAAAATGCAAATGTTTGTAAATTCTTCCATCTGAGTAACAGAAGGAGCAAACCTAGGCAAATCTGGAACTAATATGGTACAGTGAGAGCTATTACTTAGAATACTCAGAATGCACCTATATAGCAGTCATTTTGTTCATGTTTCTGTGCGAAGATATTTTAAGCTCATGTAAAATCACAAAATAGAGTTAGCTACCAGCTTGATTTTGAGCTCTCCTATTGCTCTTGGGCAGACTACAGAATTTCTACGAATGCTTCAAACCAAAATGAAGTCCATTTACTCTTTTGCAGCATGTACAGATGATACACGAGAGGTTACAAGGAAAAATGTTCATGCTCCATCAAGAATGCAAATCGGAATTTCAGACTTAGACCAAAGAATTGTGCTCTTGGTAGTTAGTGAACATATAGGCCTGTCATTGCATTTACTGCATCCTTTTCCAGGTAATTCCCTTCTCTGACAGCCATCATTTCCAAATGCATGCTACATGTTTAGTACCACAGCTACTACGGGTAACGTTTGGATCAGAATTTTGGTTTCTAACATGACACTTTCATTGACCACGTAACCCTTTGTATATAAGTTCATTAGAAATTGACATTAGGAAACTTACGATGAACATTCATTATCAAACCAACGAATAGAAGCATTAACATCTGAAAGAGGAAGGATGGAAAGAACACAGTTGAAGTCCCCACAAGCTCAGATTCAATACATCTGAACTCCCCCATCCCGCCCCTTCACTTCCTCACAATGCTTCATGGCAGAAACATTACTGACATTCAATGCTAACACCAAATTTGGATTTGTTCTATATTAAATAACTATAAACAAACACTTGAGGTATGTTATGACAATTCTGATTACAACACTTGGTTAAATAAATGTTAGTTTACCTTGAAACTCAAACATTTCATGTTGATGTTCCCTACAGGTTTTGTTCTAGCATACACAAAGAAATGAAATAAAGTGCTCTAACCTCATTGAGAGTCTCATTTTGCCTTTGTCAGCCAAAATTATTGTAGTATTCTGTAGTGTAAGAAGTGAGCACTGATAACAGAATAACCAGTGTCTGAATTTTTTTGTCCACACAACAATCCTAAGCAAATCACTTTACTTCATCTGACCTTCAGTACTCATGACCTGGTTTTTGAAAACTGAATAAAATTAGCTTACAAAATTATTATGGAAATTGCTGTATGTGATTTGTTTTTAAGAGTTTGATCCAATGCTCTGCAGAGAACTTTCAACAAACGCTATTTTGTTTTCTCACTCTTCTTCCTCCCACTTTAGCTCTGAGTAACTTTTGACAGCTTACAAGAATTAGATTCATTTAGAGAGGCTCCGGGTTTTGTGATAATGAAGATAACCAACAAGAATGTGATACAACCATCCACTCCCACCTCCTGTGAATTTATAAATGAATAGGCTTGACTCCAGGATACTTGCATGTTAAAGCCAAATGATACATTAATCTACAGTGTTCATAAACGAACAAGATGATTTTTCCCCCAAACCTAGTTAATTAGAAGTCCATGCTCTCAGAAAGTGGCAATTAAAACTTATAAAAGGAACTATGACATTAAAGTACCATGAGCAGTCTATGAACGAGCATGTGAGCACCTCATATATACAATTTACTGGTGCTGTCTACAAAATAGTTACTTTGGTTGACAGTTTTTGGAATCCAGTCCAGTTATTATTGAAATCCAGAACAGTTGGGGGACAACTCTGAATTGGTACTTATTCCTAAACGTCAATCTCCCATGATTTTTGCTATTCTATATTCACCAACAACACATCAATGATGTATCTGCTATTTATTAGCATCAGATACTCAAGGAAGTACAATATTAACATTGTGGTGTGGGACCAATTTCTTTGGGTTCCTGGTCTAATCATCCTGGCAGGTAGTAATTAGGTAAATAATCGCAAAACCTGATTACTACCTGAAGTAGAGAAACGGAGGTCTCCTATTGACAACTGGTGAGTGTCAATAACTAGTGCTATTCAGAATTTACTCCTGCTATGTTTTCAGGAATCACTTTTGGCAGGGCATAGAGGACCATATGGGGTCGAACCCACCTCTGCTGTGTGCAAAGCAAGTGTCCTACCTGCTCTCCAATCTCCCTGTCCCAGCTTTACTGATTTTAATTATTCAATTCCAGGAGCAATCACAACAATTTCTTGTATTTTTTTAAATCACACATTTGCTAGGACTTTCAAGAATATAACTAAAATGACCAGGTGCAATGATTAATTTTACTTGTCTGGAAGTTCTTTTTTCGACAATTTCAAGAATCAAGATTATAATTCTTAATTATCTTTACATGAGTTCTTGAGAGCTAAAGGAATTTAATTTCTTCAACAATTTCCTTGGATGAGAAAGTCATCAGTTTGTCATTATGCCAAATGACAGTTTTTAGCCAGATTGTTTAGCACACTAGTTTTAAAACCCCTTAACAAAAGGTAAGTTTATATTCAAGCTGTCAGGTTTGTGATTCAGCAGCCTCTTTTACTACTTTATGATGGACAGACTGACTAAACGAGAATACGTCTTATGAAATAAAGTAGCCGTCCCTTTATCATGCAGTGCATATGATTCCTCTGAAGCATTTGAAGAATTCTACCTGATTTATAATGCTGCTATGGCTTAAAATGCTATTAACAGTACTTGAAGGAAAATTTGCTTCCTCTTTTCAAAATGACTTCTGTTTTAGTGTCTGAAAGCAAAGGTAACATGCTGCACTTACATTTCCCCAATCAAATTGCATAGTTGAGGCAAATACATTTGTGCTTTGTCGCAAAACTCACAGTACGTGCTCCTATCTTAAAAACTTCCATTTGTACATGAAAAGTCATGGTCAAGCCCACCTTGTTTTGGAGTGTATGCTAATGGTATGTGCTGCCAATGTACTTCCCATGATTGCTCACTATGTACCCCAGCCTTATACCCTAGGAGAGCATAAGCGTTGAATTATCATAGTATAACTGGTAACAAATCTATCGAAATGCCTCCTCTTCAGAGAGAGGAGGAAGAAAAGGCTCTCAGTCTTGTTGAGGTATCCAGCCCTCCATCAATAGTGGCTGTGTGTACTAAGTTTCGTTGGTTTGAGGATTGTGTCCTTAGAGGTTAAAAAAAGAAAAGAAGGCACGGTGTTTCACAAGTCACCATACTCGACTCAACCAACAAAAACTGAGGCTTCCGTTTTCCAGGCTTCCAGAAGGATGCTACATGGCTGCAGGGCTTTCTTCCAGCCCCGGGTCTGGGGAGGAAGTTATTGCTTCTGGGAAGGGCCCCGGGTAGGTCTGTGCTATGGATTGGATCCCTTTTTGCAGACTGGTTTCTTCATGGAATTCTCCCTGGGTGCTGAAAGCGGGGCATGATCTAGTCCGGGCGTATTTATTAGCACTGTCGGTGTGGACCATCTCACTCACGGTGCTCAGCGGAAATTCTCGCCACCTCTGCCTCTGCAGGCCGCCCTCCTTGTACTTAATGGAGTACCAGGCCAGGAAAATAAAAATAAAGCCCACAAATTTGAGGCCAGCCGCCAAACCAAAATAGACGAAACGAAAGGACGTCACGTTGTACTCCCAGCAGGAGCCTTGCACTCCACACTCCTGTTGCCAGAGCATGCACGTGGTGTCGATGACAGCTCCGAAGTAGATAGGAGTAGGAATGTACGCTAGACGGGCGGGGAACAGAAAACACAAAGTACTTAGCACATCTGAGTAGACAGAACAGGCTTAAAAATGAGCAAGAGGGGCTGGAGCAATAGTACAGCGGGTAGGGTTTTTGCCTTGCACGCGGCCCACCGGGGTTCAATTCCCAGCATCCCATATGGTCCCTGAACACCACCTGGAGCAGTTCCTGGGTGCAGAGCCAGGAGTAAACCCTGTGCACCGCAGGGTGTGACCCAAAAGAGCAAAATAAATAAATAAATAAATAAATAATAAAAATAGATTAAAAAATGAAAATGAGCAAGAGATTTGGGTGCTCTAAGACAAAGGGAGTGGTTTTTTAGAGGAGCTTAACTCTTTTTCTTGTTGTTCATTTATTTGTTAATTAAAAGGCCGTGAGCTACACAATAACAAAGTTGTTCATGATTGAGTTTCAGTCCAACAATGTTCCAACACCAACACTTCTCGACCCTAACTGCCTGCCATCTCCAACATACTTGTGGCAGTCTGCCAGTCGCAGACCAACCCTCCTGGTCCCCAATTTTTTCTGTCCTTGAATAGAGACTGCACTCATTTGTGGGATTTAAAACACACACACACACACACACACACACACACACACACACACACACACAGAGCAGAAGACTAATATCCAAGTAGCTTAACTTTTCAATCTTTTTTGGTTTGGAGGATACAACCAACAGAGCTCAGGGCTTACTCCTGGTTCTGTGCTCAGGTATTACTCCTGGTGAGGCTCAGGGGACCATATGAAGTGCCAAGTATCAAACCCAGGTCAGCCACATGCAAGGAAATGCCCTAACCATTGTACTATCACACTCTGGCCCCTAGCTGCTTAATTTTTTTTTTAAAATATCTTATGTCATCTCTTACATTTACTATAAAATATTCACAAAACCATAACCACTGTACTATCACTCTGGCCCCTTGCTGCTTAATTTTTTAAAATATCTTATGTCATCTCTTACATTTACTATTAAAAAAATCACAATGACTCGATCATTGTATAACTGAAACTCAAGCACAAAAAAAATTCTAAGTCTACAATTGTACCTCATGGTGCTTCACTAATAAAAATTAAAAATAAATAAATAAATAAAAATCAAAACTCGGACAGAATATATTATCAATTCTGAGACTTATAAAAATATCAAGCACTAAAAATGCAGTTAAGGAATGCTTTTAAACCTCAAATCAGATTTTGGTGTTGAACAGTCAAGAGATGATGCCTGAACCCTTTTTCATCTGAAATTTTAGTGCATTTAATTCTAGTGTGTTAGTCCCCGTGTGCTGAAAGAATATGAGGAAAGCATTGTCCCCTATAAGCCAAAAACCACATCAAATGGCAAGTCTAGAAAGGCAGTTGGGTCTGGAAATAATTATGGTATAAAGTTCCTCTTTGAAACCTATGAAACATCTGTGATGAGTAGTGACTTTGTTGTTCAAGTTATGATTTTTTTTTTACTGCCATAAGAAAGAAAGTCAACCAAAATAAACTTCCTTCATCATGTATTACTACTCCCTTGGCCAAAATGTATCCCATCCCCAACTGACTCACCCTGCAAATATCTACCCCTCCTTTAAATATGTGGATCTCTTGGGTGCTATTCTTCTCCCATTGCATTATATATATGTATATATACATATATATATATAGTTTTTATTTAGTATATTAACTGTCACATAAAATTTTAGTCACTCACAAATATTGCCCCTAAGCTCCTTAATAACTTTTATTCTTTTATTTCCCAAGGACCTATCAGATCAGCCCCTGAATTCTCAATAAGTATATAGAAGGAAGTTATGGGAGGAAGGTAGTGAAGGAGGGATGAAAGAAAGAAGAAAAAAGAGAAGGAAGGAAAGGAAAAAGGCTTGGTAGGCTAATAGTACAGGAATTGATGCGCAATTCATTTTTAAATGCATGGTACTAATTTCAAAAGGGTCTGCTCACTGCAATTAAAACTTAACAGTATTAAAGTACTTAAAATTCTCCACTTCACAGCTAGTAAAATAGAGGTGGCTGGAGTGACAGTACAGCAGGTAGGGTGTTTTGGCCTTTTACGTGGCTCACCCAGGTTCGATCCTCCACATCCATATGGTCCCCAAGCACCAACAGAAGCAATTATTCCTGAGTGCAGAGTCAGGAAAAATCCCTAAGCACCACCGGGTGTGACCCAAAAAACCCAAACAAACAAAAAAATAAACGGAGGAGTTAGTCTGTTGCTTTATCTCTATTTTTTCATAATCAACAGAACTTAGGGTTGCCAAAATATTCAATGCCTGAGATGCTCTCTCTCCACATTTTCTTGATGTTGCATTTATTGACTTACCTTTACCATACAGAGTCACCATCATGCATTGTTGATAGACTCAGCCAAAAGGAGCACATTTTTCCTTTTCCTATTTAACTACTTCTTTATTAAACAAATTTCCTTCTTGAAAATAGTTTTTTAACAGAAATATAAGGTAAATTCTCTCTTCTCCCTAAGCTTTTAAAATATTACTTTAAAATTTTCCCATTCAACAAATTTTAATGTTTATGCTTTCAATAAGGTTTAAAAACTGTAGTTTAAGTAAGATGGTCACAATATTGTTAACATTTTTGGTATTGATAACCAAGGTGGCGGTACAGTACAGTACTCTACTCTGAACTGGACTCTGTGATCTACCACGCTGAGCACCACCACATCCTCAGGTCCTAGCATCAAACCCCTGGCCTGGTTGGCCAAAATCACCAAGAGTCTCTGGGTCTCATGAGTTCTCTTGAACCTCTCTACCGTCTCACCCCAAAGAACCAAAAGTCCAGAATCAGAATACAATAACTCTTGGTACAATATTTCTCACAACATAAGGAATTGAACCCAAGTTTATGCTCAAAGTGAAAAAAGAAACTGACTTAAAGTTGGTTTAGTTCTGTTTCATCAACTGATAGAGGAAGCTGACTTTTAGTAAATAAGGAAATTGCCCCCAACAGTCATCCAGTAAGTCCTGGTTGCTAATGCAAAAAAGTGACTTGACTCTTTTTTGGAAAGCACAGGGGGAATTTGCTATGTACAAGGAGGAACAAAGAAGCACACTTGGAAATTAAGAAACATACCAAGTGTTCTCAATAAAACAAACTGCATTCCCAGCGCAAAAGGTCTCTCCTCCTCTTCTACAGACCTAAGGTGAAGGGAAAGAAAGAGATGTTAACAACAATGATGGCAAAAAATGAATGTTCAGTCTTTTTTTGAACATGCTAGGACACAGCCCGGCACCAGAGAGAGGTTGTACCGATTTCACCGGCTAGAAATATTAACACTAGCCAAGCAAACCTGCTCTTCACTAAATCAGTGAGTAAAGATCTTGCCCCAGTGAAGATACAAAGAAACTCAGTCTGCTCTAATTGTTTCCTGCAAGTTCTATAGAACAGCATTTCTAATGAGGGTCATATGCTCCCCTGCAGGTAGCCAGAATATTCCAAGGAGACCATCGGTGAAAGTCATGTAAATGGGGGCCATGACACAAGAATGGGGGAAATGATAGGATGGGGGGTGGGGGGGTGATACAGGAAAGAAAACAAAGAGGATCGCAATCGGAAAAAAGAGTTGAGAAACTAATATAGATGGTGAAGCTTTAGTGGCAAAAGATGGAGAGAGGCTGTTGCTGCATTTCCAAAATCGATTTTATTTTTTAAAACAGCATTTTATCCTGGGGCTGGAGAAAGAGTACAGTGGGTAGGGCACTTGTCTTGCACATGGCAACCCTGGGTTCTATTCGTGGCATCCCATATGGGCCTTGAGTACTGCCAAAAGTAATTTCTGAGAGCAGAGCCAGGAGTAATCTCAGAGTATTGCTGGGTATGGCCCCAAAACAATCAAACCAAAATAAATAAATAAATAAAAATTTATCCTAACTGCTGCTGCATATCTCCCATTTGTCTGTACTTACCACGTAAGTATACATGCTGGAAATTACTACCATCATTTCTTTAAAAAAATTTTAAGAAAGTATTGTAAAAAAAATATAGAAAATAGGTCATAAGTTGCAGCCACTTCATTTTCCCTTCTTTCCATAAGATGTATGCTTTCCACATGGCAGGAAGATTAGTCTATTGATTTTGCAATCAGCAAAGATTAAAGGACTCCTTTTCCAGAATTTTGGGGTAGAAGCCAAGTGGTGATTTTTCACATTTCAGCACCCCAAAACGGGCAACCCTTAACTGGGTTATTAACTCCCCTCGCTGATATTAGTTCAAAGCATACGGACTAGCCCAAGGTTCCTTATTCTCCCTTCCCATACACAAAGGGTTTTAGGTCCATGATGCCAACGCTTGTGTGCTGCCTTCGTTCCCCAATTCTGTATTTTGTGCAATGCCGCACATATGGTTGTCTCTCCAGCAATACTTACCGATGCCTACTGAGTAATGGGATGAATAACCCTTCGGACTTATTCCATGTTGTTTTCTTACTAACAAAGACAAAATTGGCTCTAACAGCCTCCCATAGAAGGGACACCAGAATACGCAAGATGAGCAGCCCATTGCTCAGCTAAGCTAACTCCACTGGGGCCTTGTGCCAGGCACCCAGTATCGTGAAACACAAAGGACCCGAGGAGGAGACAATGGGGAGAATAAGGACTGACTCCTTAACCTGCCCCTTCACTCTTCTGCCATGCCAAGTCCCTAAAACTGTTCTCCTTGCCTCACCACACTACCCCCCCTTCTTCTCTGTCCTCTGCAATCTCTTTTTTTTCTTTTACAAAACTTATTTTTCTTTTATTGTTCTTGGGGTACCAACCATGGTTGGTGCATGCCTATGTGTTTGGTGCACAAAGTAACTGCACTCTACCACCAACATACCCACTGCAGCCTTAACCATGTTCATTTAGAAGTGCAGGTGGTGAGGCAGGAGAGATAGACAGGACAGGGCTTAAAGCATTTGCCTTGCATGCAGCTGACCCTGGGTCCATCCCTGTCACCACATATACACACCTAGTATTGCAAAGAATGATCCCTAAACACAGAACCAAAAGAAAGCCTTGAGTACCATCAGGTGTGACCAAAAGAAAACAACAACAACAAAAGTACCAGTGGTGGCATCTTGTTTAAAAGTATCCACTTAAGATACTCCTAATTCAGTATAAAACAACATAACATGGGGCTGACACCTAAGGACAGTAGGTACATAGGACAGGAAGATTGCTCCATAGCTGGAAGCCTGCCTCATGAGCAATGGGGAGAAGGCAGCTGGAATAGAGAAGGAATCACTAAGAAAATGATTGCTGGAGGAACCGGTTGGAATGGGAGATGTGTGCAGAAAGTAGATAAAGGACCAAACATGACAACCTCTCAGTATCTGCATTGCAAACCATAATGCCCAGAAGTAGAGAGAGAGTATGGGGAATCATGTCTCCATGGAGGCAGGGAGAGGGTGGGAAGGAGGGGTATACCGGGGATATTGGTGGTGGGGAATGTGCACTGGTAGAGGGATGGGTGTTTGATCATTGTGTGATTGTAACCCAAACATGAAAGCTTGTAACTATCTCATGGTGATTCAATAAAATTTTAAAATAAAAAAAAGATAATTCTAATTGTCTTTCATGCACAATAACAAAAACCCCTCAGACAAATGGGGTCTATAACGTGGAAAAGAAAGCACAACATGAGCACCTGAAGCCTGGCATTTCCCAACCTGCTCTTTCTTTGATTCAACTCCAAACTGTTTTTGCTGCTAGAAAAAATAAAATCAGCATTTTGAAATGCAGACCCAGCCATCAACAGCCACTGATCCGGGAGGGATTAACCTTTGAGAAGGGTGGAGGGAATATTCTTGGCAGTGGCCATGATTTAGTAACTTCCCCCAAAGAGTTCTGACTTCCTCTGGGGCCAGACATCTTGGCGCTAGGTGAGTCGGATTTCGAATCCCCAATGTGAACTTCTCAGAATTTTCAGGCCCCAATGGTACCCCCACAAGAAGCTTCACTCCACAATCAGAATAGAGCTCATCTCTATAAAGAAAGTCCAGGAATAGGAGGGATGCCAAGCTTCCTGTCCCTTCTCTTGCTGCTGTTTGCCAGGGGATCCCCGGGACACTTTCCTGTGCTCTTGTGACTTTCCCTCTACCACAACGCGTCCCAGTCCTAGAATATTTGTTATGGCAAACTTGAGTAGGTAACACATGCTAGAAGTTGAATATCGCACTCACCTGAGTGTGACGATGATGGCTGAAGGTTGGGCACATGCTGTGATAAAGGTGACGATGAACAGAAAAACTAAGAACGGGATGAGGGTGTTACAGGTGCGCTTACACTTGCCAGACACGGCATAGCCGTTCTCGTTAAGATACGTTTTCACAATGACCACACGGAGCTGACTGCGTTGCCCCACGGTGGGGGGAGTGATCACTTGCCGGCTTTGAACACAGGTACATTCTGTGTAATTCCTTATCTGAGTGATAATAAAGATCAGTTAGATGCCCATCACAGTCAAAATCCAACCTAGGAATATGAAGACAAAGTTCAGTTCAAATCCTCAAAAGCAATTTGGTGTTTTGCTCTTTCATGTGGAAGATGCAATGTCTAATGACCTTCAATGCAACTAGTAAGGGTCCAAAGACAGATGTCAGAATCTAACAATACTGAAATCTACCAGGCTAAAGTTAAACTTTGTAAGATTTTTTCAATACCCAATTCTATAGCATTTACACTCCACTTTGGGTCATAATCATATGCTGCTTGTACTGTTTCATAACTCTCGAATCTTCCACTTCTGAAAATCTTTTAAAAACAGGAACTAATTCCTTTTAGGTTTTGTGCTCTCTGGAGCACTAAAGATCACCCTGAATACAATGAAGAAATGAAATTAAGTATTTACATAATGAATGCAGACAATTCCTAATCAACTATGATGAGTCTGAATAACAAGACTGAATATATCATTGGCTATTTCAATTGAAACCAGCTAGTTCCAGTACCTGAAGTATTTTCACCAGAATGGGCATTTTATTACAAGCTATCAAACACGCAGGCAGTGGGAAAATATAATGTGGACCAAATAGAAAGATGGGGAGCTACTTGGCCATCTGTACTAAGAAACAGTTACTACTCCACAACCAGCACTTTATATCAATTAATATTATCTATGCTCTTATTTTGTGTCCTCTACACAGCAGATGAATGAGATCATCCAGTGCTCGGCCTCCTTCTAGATTACTTCTCTCAGCATGATAAAATCCAAGTCAGCAACAGGAATTCCTAATATATCACTATAATTTCAAACTTGAAATCAAGAAGATATCCCCCAAGCGTGTAGGCAATGATATGATTCTTTCATCACTTGTGCAGGACTAACAAAGGTCTTTTAACTTTTTTATTAGAACAACCACATGTGCAAGGCAGAAAAGCCATTTAAAAAAAAAAAAAGAGTATGAAAACCATGTCCCACAGTATCTCAGCCTATTTACAACTGCCAGGGAAGGGAATTCTCAAAATAGCCTATTCTAGAAATGTCAGAAATATATTTACTCTGAAAGTAGTTCTTTGTGTTTTTTTTTTAAAATAAAGTCTACACTGACAGTCAATGAGAAATAGCCCATCTTCACAGACTCATCAAGAGAGGTGCTCTCCAATTACCTCCTATCAGCGCCAAATGTGGTCATCTTAACCTTCAAATCCATCACAAGGATGCTGATAGATTCAGAGATGAGCAACCTAACACGGAACTTGATCAGGTTTCACTGAGTAAGCACAGAACATAAAGTAGGAAGGGCTGATACAGAATGAAATTGCCCTGGCTAAATGTTTCCATCATCCTAGAGAGAAGGGGGGCTGATAGCATCATTTTCTCCAGTCTGTATTTCTATAATAAAGAATTCTATCAATTATTTAAATTTTTTGAAAGGGGATACTGAAATTAAACATTGGCTTTTGGACACTACACTTCCTGGTCCCAGGCTGTGGGAAGTAATATTCATACAGAAATTAGTGGAATATACTCACCCCAGTGCTTAGATTACCACTGTTAACACAGCCAGCCAGACAAGGGTTAAAGTATGTGATTCCGTCCGATCCACAGACTGGTTTATACTCATGTATTTTACAACCACAATTAACGTTGCAGCTTCCTGTTAGATTTCTATGAGGCATTGTGAGAGAAGGTCTAGGAAAGAAAAGATTATGAGCAACACGGTTATGAAAGTACAACTAATAGAAAAGTTCCACATATTAAGTAATTGTGCATTTTAAAGATGACAATCCCCTGAAATCAAAGGTATGGTGCCATGAGGACTGGAGAGGTAAGTACAGTGGGTATGGTGCTCGCCTTATATTCTACAGACTAAGTTTGATCCCCAGCATCCCATAGGGTCCACTGAGCCCTGTCAGGTGTAATATCTGAGCACACAGCCAGAAGAGTAAGCGCTGTACCAGGTGTGGCCCCCAAACCAAAAAAGCTATGATGTTATGAAGTAACTACTTTAAATAATTATCTTTATTACTTTAAAATAAACCATAAAGAAAAACATTTCAATTTCCTGGTACCATAGACTTTACATCCAATTATCTGTGCATCTGCATCATAATGCTGTAGACCTGGTCCCATGGCACATTATACTTGCTCTCTCTCTCAACTCATTTGGTCTCAGTCCCTTTTACAAAATGCAAGAGGTATCTTCCTGTACCAAATCAGTTACATCATGATGAGGGTGTTAAGCATTGAACCCATCAATCGTGAAACACAGGTTCTTTATATAGAAACCTTTTCATTGTTAAAAAATAAATTATCCCCCTCCCCCCCACCACAAAAAGACACAGAACTTTAGAAAATAAAAAGGAAGAAACTTCAAAGATGAGGAATCACATCAATAGTCTAATTCAAATAACTAGAGAAGGAAGATCAAAGAGTTCTCACTTAGAATGCCTCTATGTGGGATTCACAAAACCAAATGGGGTGGGTTTTGTTTTCTAAGGAGAGCCTCATGTCAGAGTCAAAGAAAAAATAGACTATAATAGCTATCGTGAAATCAATTCAGAAACAAAGACAGTAAAGGGAGGGGCAAGCAGATGAAAGGAAAGTGAGACTAAAGGGGAGAGATGTAGGGAAAACTGGATAAGCAAAGGTAAGCAGGACCCCGGGCTCTGGGCTATTAACACCCAATGGTATCTTCCCTTCACTTATGTGGCCACTCTTTGTAGATGTCATTGATGAAATATTGATCCTAAAATCACGAGTTAACAATACTTCAACCTTCATTCACTATCCACCTGCCCACTGTCTCAGCATCCAATTTTTTTCCAAGAATTTTTTTATTAAATTGCTGTGAGACAGACCCTTACAAAGCTGTACATGATTGCATTTCAGTCATACAGTGTTCCAACACTCAGTCCTCCATCAGTGTACATTTCACAGCACCAGCACCCCAGGTTCCCTCCCATCGCCCTCCAACCCACCCCCACCCTGCCTCTGTGCTCTATGAGAGTTACCTCTCCCTCCCTCCCTCTCTCCCTCTCCCTCTCTCTCTCTCTCTCTATATATATATATAGCGATAGCACAGTGGGTAGGGCGTTTGCCTTACAAGCGACCAACATGGCCGACCCGAGTTCGATTCCTCCGCCCCTCTTGGAGAGCCCGGCAAGCTACCGAGAGTATTCGATATGCCAGACACAGTAACAAAGTCTCCAATGGAGACGTTACTGGGCCCGCTCGAGCAAATCGACGATCAACGGGAGGGCCTTTACCTTTTACCTTTATCCCTCCCTCCCTCCCTCCTCTCTCTCTCACTCTCTCCCTCCCTTCCACCTCAATCCCCCCTCCCCTCTTGCATGCTGATTTGCAATACAGATACTGAGAGGTTGTCATGTATATCCCTTTACCTACTTTTAACACTCATATCTTGTCCAGCATGATTATTTCTAACTATTATTGTCATACTGGTCCCTTTTCTATCTTACCTACCCTCCTCCCACACACTCTTGTGGTAGATTCTTTCAACCACTGACCAGTCCTCATAGCCCTTGTTTTCCCTGGCCTTAGGTATTAGTCTTTTACTATATATTTTTTACATACTACAAATGAATGCAGTCATTCTATATTTGTCCCTCTCCTTCTGACTCATTTCACTCAGCATGATACTCTTCATGTCTATTCATGCATAAGCAAACTTCATCAGCATCCAATTTTGAAAGATCGGTCATATGCCAGGAACTACTGAGTGGTCTGTTTTATTGTAGTGGATGGATCATGACTACAGCACAATTCATCTTATGGTACATGGTAACTGCACTTCACCACCACCGAAGTGCCTAACCTCCTTCACAGATGTCCTTCTGTCACTTCGAGTTCATTTCTTCATCCCTTCTCCTCACCCCAGCTGCTTACTAATCTGAGTTTTGTAAGAAAGGAACAGTTTGCCATTCTTTGACACCATTAATTTGTTTTGTTTCTTTACACACCAAAAATGAGTAAGATCATCCAGCATTTGCAGTACGAGTATCTCGCCTGCACGGCAGAGCCTGGCAAGCTACCCGTGATGTATTTGATATGCCAAACACAGTAACAAGTCTCATCATGGAGACGTTACGGGGCCCACTCGAGCAAATCGATGAACAACAGGAGGACCATGACCGTGACCGTGACCGTGACAGTTCTGGGGTTATGCACAGTGGTGCTTGTGGTCTGCACTGGCTCTATGTTTGAGGATTGCACCCAGAGTTTGCTGGGAGACCACAAAGTGCCCGGGATAAAACTGGAGTCAGCTCTGTCTTTTCTCTCTTGTACTGCAAGACTTATTTTATTTATTTATTTATTTATTTATTTATTTATTTATTTATTGCTTTTTGGGTCACACCTGGCAATGCACAGGGGTTACTCCTGGCTCTGCACTCAGGAGTTACTCCTGATGGTGCTCAGGGGACCATATGGGATGCTGGGAATAGAACCCGGGTCAGCTGCGTGTAAGGCAAACGCACTACCTGCTGTGCTATCTCTCCATCCCCAAGAATTACTTCTAATGACTCTGCTGAGTACAGCTCTCCCAGAAGCCTAGCCCATCCCGACCATATGTATCAATCTATAAACATAAAATTATAAGTCTATATATATATATATTGCTTTTACAAAGTTTTGATCCTCCAACTTCCATGCTGATAAGTGAGTTCTCACATTTTAATAAAAGAAATTAATTTGTAGCAATAAATTTTATCAAGAAAGCCTTCAAAATGGACAAAAGTGGGGGCCTCGGGGAAGATTCAATGGTAAGAAATGCCTGGCATGCAAGAATAAGCCCGCAGTTTGAATCCCCCATGCTCCTCGCACATGCGCACTAAACCTCGACCTGGCAGATACAGCATCGGAACCCTGGCCCTGTAACAGTGTGTGATCTCAGGACCACCACTGCCAGGTGTGTACAAGCACCACAACTAAAATATGTGCCAGCATCTCAACCTGTAGCACAAGCCCTCATGAGCAAGTGTGTGCACAACCACCGACCCCAGTGAAAACCAAACCATACACAAACACAAGAAGGAAAGGAAGTGACCCCTCCTCCCCCCAGGGATCAAACACACAACTATAAGCATCTGAGCCCCATGAGCAGCTGGGCTGAGTGTGAGAGCCTACAGACAGATGCACCAGCCCCAGGAAGCACTCAAGGTGAGTGTGAGAGTGACCTCTGCTCATTGCAGCAGTGAAGGGAAAGAAGGGTGGGAAACAAGAAAAGTCAATTCTTCATGTCACTCCACAGAGAAAATTTTATCACACATTATTAATCATTATATAAAAACAGTAACAAGAAGTCTCACAATTTGTTGTGAGACATTACTGGTGCCTGCTAGAGCAAATAGATGAACAATGGGAGGTCAGTGCTACAGTATAAATATACTCATTTACTTCCTACCATCTTAGAATTCAAATATGCCTCTTAAAAATGTAATTCAGGGCTAGAGAGACAGTACAATGGGTAGGATGCTTGCCTTGCACGTAGCTAAATTCATTTTGATCCATGGCATCCCATGTGGTCTGCTGAACACTGCCAGGAATAATTCCTGAGCCCTGCTCACAACTTACTCATGGCTCTGTGTCCAGGGATAACTTCTGGTAGGTGAGGGGGACTACATGGGGTGCCAGGGATTAAACCCAGGTTTGATGGCACGTACAAGATAAGCACCATATCTGCTGTACTCTCGCCACAACCCCCAAAGTGTAATTCTTAACAACAGTCTTCCACAAGGTAACCTTTGTCCTCCAGGTGACCTATGGCAAAGTCATGACACACTTGTCTTTGTCATAACTCAGGGATTGTTACTGGAACCTAGTGAGTAGAGTCCAAACTGTGCCTAAGCATCCTATAATATGTACACTAATATGTTTCCTATAGGAAAATATTAAAACAGTAATAACCCTGATCTCAATAGACCTAAAGCTGAGAACCCTTGTTCAAAGCCTATTACTACATTCTACAAATGAAGAAATAGAAGTTCACAGAGGTCAAATGATTCACTCTGAAACTTATCAGTGCTATTTTAACTGGCATCAGGTAAAATTATTCCATGCATCACTATTCTCTCCTCCAATTCAAGAGCTAAATTGCAAGCCATAACCATATAAAAGTGTTTTAATATGTCTGCATGCTTAGTCATTAAAAATGACAGGCTTCAAATCCATACAATATGATTCTTACTATTGCTGTTTAAAAGCTACAAGGAATTTCTTGTTAGCAGTATGCTTTGTATTCATTTATGAGTCATTGATTCCAAACACCTCTCTCTTTATTGGCACGCCCAATCAGGAGATAGGAATCAAGAGATTATATCAATGGATGTTCAAACACATTGATGACAGGAAGGCAAAGGGTTTTGTGAGAATTTGGCAAAAGCAACTCTGTTCCTGGACATCCTCAAATATGCTTGCTTTTCTCAGTTAATGATGTCTGATGCAAAGAAATGATACCATATGAAGTGCTCCAAGAAAAAAAAAATAAGGAGCAAATACTAATTGCAGTGGAAATAAATGAACAGTTGGAAAAGTCATTAGGGTAAGGATTGGAGAGATAGTACGGGGTAAGGCTCTTGCTTCGCAATGACACTGGCTGACCTGAATTTGATCCCAGGCACCTCCAGGAGTAAGCCCTACACACAGAACGAAGAGTAGCTCCTACTTAGGGC